TTTAGGATTTGGCGCGCGTAGCCCTCTGCGGAGATCGTGCGCGTCGAGGGCGCGAAGTGCAGGTGAGATTGCGTTTTGGATTTGTCCGGCGCAGCCCTCTGCGGAGATCGTGCGTGTTGAAGGCGCGAAATGCAGGTGAGATTGCGTTTTGGATTTGTCCGGCGCAGCCCTCTGCGGAGATCGTGCGCGCCCAACTTGCCTGATTTTTTGACGACTTTTTCGACATCCCAGAGTCCCCCAAAAAGGCCTCTCCCCCACCAGGCTCAAGGGTTTTGCTACACCGGATAGAATGGGCTAGCGCCTGGGTCCCGCCGACCCCTATTTTTGGGCTACTTTAGCTGAAGCACAGCCTCCAAAATGTAGCTTGGCCGCAGCAATCTGAGATCTCCAACCTCGGTGAAGGAAGGCCCAGGCTATGTGAAGGAAGGGCGTGGGATTTTGTATGTCGCACTGGCAGGCTGCAGGTTGTGGTTGAAGGAAGATATTGGACGGCAGCTTTGAAGCCCAATCAAAAAAGGTTTGCAAGCCCACGGTCCCAGAAGGCAGCTTCGCAGACTTGCAAGGACACTGCGCAAGCCCCAGGCAGCTTTCCAGAGTGGCTGGACAAAGGTGATGCGTGTCGCGGGCATCGCCCGGGCTTAGGCCAGGCTAAGCCGGGGTTGGCGGACTCCCAGGAGCTGTTTGGTATGCAAACATCAGCATGCGATTCAAAGACACAAGCTTGGTGGAGGAGGGAGTAGGTGTCAAGACTTGAAATAAACATTCCCGAACGCTTCTCCGTCCAACAGCCACTGTTCACATCACATGTTTGCCTTCGCACCAACTCTCACCAGGAGCAGCTTCGCTTCAATCCAGCTCAACCAAGGCGTGAGAGCACCCACTAGTACGACCCATGTTTTTGGGCTTTGCGAGACAGTGCACCAAGGCGACCCCAGTGGTGGAGTGGGAGGGATTGGCCTAGCACTAACTCGCTTGAAGTGTGGGCCCTGTTTATCACGAATCGACCCTAGATGCCCAAACCCAGAGCACTTTTGCAGACAGTGCTGGCCAGTGTCAGTGACTGACTCGTAGGCACCGCAACCCTGGGGGGTGGGAGTTGTGCCTGACATCACAAGAAACAACCTCGTAGTGGTTCAATCCATTCACACTGCACCTTTACAAGTGACATTGCTCGATGACGGGGGGACCTCTTTTCGTGAACACGCCGCGAGCCGGGGACCGCAGACCTGCAGGGCAACGGGGGGGGCCTCTGTACCGTGCAGAGTGAGTGATTTAAAACACACAGACATTTTCTTGATGAGTTTTCACCTAGCTTTCATTCATTTGTAGCTAATTTTTAATCACTGCGGGTCTTTTGCAGAGTGCATCGTTTCGCGCACCAGCTGAGTTTCGTCCCCGTGCAGCGTGGTGGAAAGAACTTTTGACGACAACCTGCAGAATCATTTTTTGTGCTTCTGAGTGGTCCCCGTTCTGATACATGCTTGAAAGAACAATACAATAGAAAAAAGGTGTGCATAAAAAGTACACAACCATTTGTCTATATAAATATACAACATATATAATATACAATATATATATATACACAGTATATATCATTGAATCATGGTGCGTCCCATTTGGGTCTTTCTTGTTGTTTCTTTTTTTCTGTGCAGGGGTTCACTTGTATGCTCAGTCCAGAGTGACTGGCATACCGCCGACGCTTTCACCGGATCGTCGTGGTTGAAGTGCTTGCTCGGGCATTGCCTTTCGAGTGCCGGCGATGGGACGTCGACTGCAGCCATGGCCAGCTGACTGCCAACTGACTGCCAAAGCGACTGACTGGCTGATTGATGTACTGATCGACTACCCTGGCCCTAGTTGCCCTCATTTTGCGTTCTGACTTGCCTGACTTGCTTGCTCGCTGGCGTCTTTGCTTTCTACAAACTTCTGTTATCGATGGAGCCGCCGGCCCGGAGACCCTGAAGGGAAACCGAGTGTGGGATCCCGATTTAAAGAAACAAACACACAATTATGAATCTTCTTCACAGTGACACTTTCGCTTCAAAGTGCACCAGGTCAGATGTCTTTTTTCATATGTTTTATTCTCCCGCCCATTTGACCAACGCTGTTGGAGCTCGTCGCTTCCCCTTTCTCTTGCCGTTCAGGGAGATCCCCTTAGCCATCAGCCTCATGCTGGACTCCGAGGCCGGTAAGAGCGGGACCTGTTTCCATCAGCCCCATCTACTTGAGGGTGGTTGATGGACCCCCCTTCCTGAGAGTCTATTTTCCATCCCGAAACCACCCAAATTTTGTGGAGCTGGTAGAAACATGAGTTTTTGGAGTCAGTCGTTTTGATCGTCACCATCGTCGGTCTTCAATGCCCCCTCGTAAAGAGCCGGAACTGTCTAGCAGGTACTATAGATCAATGATTCAAGGACCAACATCCTCGTCGTCGTTGTGGACCTTGTAGTAATCACTAGCCAGGAACGAGCGCAACGAGCTTAATCCAAGGGTTGCACAGTCGAACGCACGAAGTGATGTCAGCGAGATGCCGGTAAAGGACTCCAAGTGCTCACCGTGGTGGTTTCCGAGGAGCTAAGTCATTTCTTTTCCACTTTTCGCATGCTCTGCTTCAGGCTGCTCTGGCGTCGGACCTGTCTGAAAAAGACATCGTGAAACCATTTGCTTCTTGCAGAGGCTACGAACGTCACAACGGGCATCGCTACAAACGTCACAACGGGCATGGGCGCACGAACGGAGCGATGCTCGGACGCGACCCGAACGGCTTCCTTCGCCGATCGCTCCCCACGTCTTCCCTTGCCGCCTTCATTCGGACTCGGTGGACCCAGGCGACGTCGGCGGAGGAAGTGGTCTCGGGGCCCAGGACGTTCGGTTTCTGACTCGACTGGGTTTCGGTGGAGTGTCGAGACGGAGAAGGAACGGGACATTTCCGGTCAACTGCGCGGTGTTTCGAAACCCGTAGGAAGGGTAGGAGCATCCGGATTCCGCCGTGGCAGATCACCACCCCGGAATGCTCCGTGTTTGGGGGACGCCGCATGCTCGACTGCCAAGGATGCAGATGAGACTCAGTCTGAGCGAACCGTGCACTACACATACATCTCACTGCAGAAGGCGGAAGAAGACGGCACCGATGTCCCGACCCGACCCGATCGATGCGGATGTCGAGAGCCTCTGGGGGGCCGAGCATGTAGCCGCGCCTTCGTAGCCCGTTGGCCGCTCATGTAGCGATTGGGTCTTGGTACCGGAAGCTCTGTCGGTCAGGGTGTGTCTTCGGCGCGTTTTCCGCGTCTGCGCGGTTCGGGTCATTCGGAAGATGGTGAAAGAATGTGACATGTCCGCGGCGGGCGACAGGCGAGCTTGGATTCGTCGCTTGGCAGATCTTGGCGGGACCTGTTGAAGTTTTGACTTCTGGCTCGACAGTTGGAGTCGAACTCTTTTCTTGGGACGTCGATGGACCTAAGGCCCAAAGCAGATCAGGCGAGCCGAGCTATGACGAGCCGAGCCGAGCTCGTTCGAAGCCCTTCGGAACCATCGCTCACCAAACGCTTCCGAACCCAACGAGCCGCGCATAGCCGTTGGGCTTGGAACGTCGCATCGGACGACGTGTTCCGCGGCGGTCCGATGCGGTCGAGTGGAGGCGGAGGAGCGTCCGTCGTGGTCAGCACATGTGATCGGCTGCTCGGTTGCAGGGACGTTGGGGAGAGTGCCTCACATGTGATCACCTGAAAGCTCGGTTTTATATTGTAGACGTATATACATATCGATGTTTATTTGTTGGCTAAAATTCTGGAATATCTACAGTAGATGCGTCCAATCTGGTTTTCGCCCCTGTTCTTTGACCGGAACTCGGTACCACTCCTAGCCGATGGCCTTAGCGCGAGCCACATGACGGTTGCCGCGACGGGTTGCCTCTCTGCCAGAAGACGGTTGGCTGGAAAACGAAGACCCGATTCTGCTTTCACAGACATGGAGGATGCCTTTCTTCTTTGTTTTTCTTCCTGGAAGCACTGATCCAACCGAATGTGCCCACCAGATCGTCTGGACAGACGGCCATAATCCCAACGGCCATAATCAGGCCAGAAGTTGGAACACTACGGTCAGCACGGGAGCTTGGCAGTGACCCAGCTCTCTCGAGCTGGGACGAGAGCTGTGTTGGACACGACGAGTCAAGCTGAGAAGCGAAGCGAAGCTGAGACACTCCGAGTTTGGTTTCTTTTTTCTTCGTGGCAAATCGATGGGATGGCTGGTCAACTTCCACTTGAGAGAACACACAGCTTCTTTCTTTTTTTGGGCCAAAACCAGCCAGAGCAAAGGAGAGCCAGGCTCCCTGCTCTCATTGCCACCAAGCGCACGTCAGACAATACGACGTTTCTTCTCTTGTTTTCCCAAGATGATTTGACTTGCATTGGGATGGAGTTGCCAAGTGTTCCCGATGTTCACCAACAAGCGCGACAAGTGACTTTTCTAGATAAAGACCCTTGAAAAGAACATGAACTTCACCATCATCCACTGCAATTGTGGAAAAAGGACACCCATGGAAAACACTGAATCCTTCAGATCATCGCTTCGCACCGCGGGGAAACCTCGACTCCGCCGGAACATTCACAACAACAGCGAACCCGAGTGATGGGCTTGGGGAACCGGGCGACATCGGCTCAGCCCAGGTGTTTCATCCTACATGAAGTTTTTGGTGCAGGTCCCACCGGAGAGAAGAGGCGGGGCGGCACCCGCGGCACCCACTCCGGGCTCCGGGCCCGTGGAGTCGAAGAAACGGAGCCGATGGACGGACGGCGGAGGACGGAGCTCTGGACATCGGATGGCTGGACAGCGGAGTCGTGGAATTCCCCTTTCGTTGGCAGATCAATGGATATCAGGTCGGATGGCTAGAGGTGATACCCTGATACACTCCCGATCTCCAATCCAATGGTCCGCCCAGTTGACCTTCCAGGTCCGATGGCGCACCACGCGATGGGCTGAGAGAACAGACGGATCTCACGATCGCCACCATCAACCGCCGAACGCCGTGGCGGCCGAACGCTCGCCGTGGTGGTGGATGTACTTGCATGTGTTCAGTTCAGTTGAACAAGGCTTCGACGAACCATTTATAGCATCTGTGGGAACTTTGCAGAGCCCAGACCCAAAGACACTGGAAGATCGGTTTGCTTCTTCGCGTGCTGTCTCTGTGCAGCGCATCCTGTGGCGTGAATGCCGAGGTCCGAGCCTATCGGATCAAGACCCCGAGGGCCATACTGCTCGGATGCCCCGATTGCGACGAAGGGACCCGCGGTGATTGAAGACGAAGAGATGCATTTTTCCCGTAGATCGGAAAAAAGGGGTGAGACCCAGGAGGAAGTTCTTGGGTGTTCCTTAGTTCAAAGAGCATGACTTGTCCACTATGAAGATATGTGAGGATGATAAGATTTGCCTTGCATAAGATCTGACTCTGCTGAATCGGTTGCACAGACCTTTGAGAAGGCGACTTGAATGATCCTTCCCAAAGAAACTGAATGTTTGAGAAGGCGAATAGAATGATTGCATGATTCTTCCCAAGCCAGAATGGGCCTGTTCTCGAATCCCAAAGAAATTGGGCTGAGGATTGTGTGATTTGCTTGAGTGAGCCTCGCGATACTGCTGTGCTGCCTTGCCGGCACATGTGCCTGGAAGCCCAACGGTAGCCATCAGCCAATCGTTGGAGTCTTTGGCTAACCCGGATGTTGAGCACTGCACCACAATTCTTGATGAGAGGTATTTCGGAATTTCTTCATAGCTTTCCTGCTATTGATTCAATGAGTTGTTGGCTTTGGAGATCTTGCTTTATGATTTGGATCGTTGGCAAGAGGGTGCCAACTTCTAGAGTGCTTTCGCCATCGCAAAGACTTGCAAGAACCAGTTTGAGCATTCAACCAAGCCATTGTGCCCACCCATGAAAGGCAAAGCAGCTTTCTTGCAACCTACCTGAAGGCAAAAGTGGATGACTTTTAAGAACAAGGGTTTCGCAGAAGATGCCTTGCAATAATCATGCTCACAGGAAACATGGCGCAGGAAACAGCAATCTGAAACGTCATGACGGTGTGAATGCAAAACTCTTCTCAATCGAGTTTCACTTCCGGGTTGACCCGTGCACTTGTCATGTGTGTTAATTTCTAATCCTTGGCTTCCACCTTTTGCTGAGGCTTTTGCAGCTACTGTGCAGGCATTGTCAGGAGCGGATGGTTTTGGCTGCAAGCATATATATATATATATGTGTGACACAGGAAGTCCTAGACATGTCAGAAACTCTCATTGCCAACTGGCTGCCACCTGCCACGTGTCAAGGAAGAAACACTTGCCTTGGGTTGCCCACTGGTTTTCCGTGTTTCAAGAACCACGTCTTGCTGATTGTGCCAACTTGATGGTTTCATACACAAACCAATGCTATCAATGGACCAGCCCCGCCGGCATTGCAGAGCTTAAAAGCTCCCATCGCCAGTCGAGCGGCGGTCCTCGGTCGTTCGGGGGGCAGGCTTCAATGCGATCGATGTCCCGTTTGCCGACAAAAAGTGCAGAGCTTGCTCCAGTTCAAGCGGGAGGCACGTTGGAGATCAGCAGATCCCTGTGGACGAGGGTCATTAGATTGCTTAGCATTATATAGTTTGGATCTACTAATTAGTTTTATTTGTTTATTTTTTTTTTTAGAATTTATGTTTTTAACCGGGCAAGAAGCTACGAACAGGGCTCCTGGCCAAACTACGAACGGAGCGATCGGAGGCTACTAGGGGCTCCTGGCCGTACTACTAGGAGCAAGGACGCTACTAGGAGCCAAAAGGAGACAAGGTCCTTGTCGATAGGTAGTTCCAGTTCTCTAATGGGTGGCTCACTTGGAGTTTGGAACGAGACCTGCGCGCAGGATGCACCGCTTGGCAGGTCTCTCTTCACTTGTTTTCTGAAGGTGTTTCCAGACTCAATCAGTGCTTCCTCGATGCTTTCTTCCAGGAACTGCAAGTCGGTGAAGCGCTTCCGAACCGGGAGGTGCTGGGCATATCCACACTCGAGCGCGAATCACTCGAGCAGCGCGAATCACTTTCTGCATTTTGGGGAACTGGAGGACTCGCTCGAATGTGCAGGGAACTAGAGGAATTCATAGAAATTGAGTGGGTTCCATCATTGGATTCTGGCTCAGATTTGATGGGAGCTCTTTTCAAGTTGAATGGAGTTGAGATGACAGGCTTAAGCTCACACCTCGAAAAAGAAAAGGCAGTTGGTGTATGTTTTGCCCTTTGTTTTTCTTTTATATATACTGTTATATAGCTGTTTCTCTCTGTCTTTCTCTCTATTGCCCTCTCTTTCACAAGACTTGCATTCTTCTGAACTGGTTCACAAACAGGTATGGCAGGTGCAAAGGTTCCAGACTGTTCTCTCGGCGGCTTGTTTTCTTGCTCATTCCCTCAGAGCTGAGAGGCAAGCTGCATGGGCCGGCGCTGATTTCGCCTTTGGAGAAAAGTGAGTTGGCGCCCTCCTTCAGGAAGACACTGGCACCAGAACTGCTAAAGTAGCACCATGAAGTGCTTATCAAGGAGAACAGTTTTTTAACAATTGCCCCTCACGCCGTTTTCTTCTTGCCACGTTCGCCGTTCCGCTCTTCCGTTTGATGACCTGTTCGTTCGTTCGTTCCTTGCCCTCGTGTCGGGATGATCTGAAACATGTCCCCGGCGACCTGTTACATCGCCAGCAGCGCGCGCTCCAGGTGGTTGGTGCCTCCTACAAGCGGCACTACCTTTTCCTTTTAGAACCCCACGAGGCGAAGCTGGTCCTCCGTCGGCCGAACGCGGGAACGTCGCGGTGGACGGTGGATGGAGGTTTCCACCGGCCACCCATGGAGGTTTGCATCTCTTCTGCCTGGCGGGGGCATATTCATCAAGAGCCTACCATTTTTTTTTAAATGAAGTGTGTTTATTGTTTTAAACATACTTTTCGGGGTGGAACTAGAATTGAACCACTTTGAGACGTCTGATGTTGAGATGCCAGCATGCACATGCATGCATGCGAGCGGTAGAGCCGGTGTTGGGCTTCACGTCCAGCGCCACAAAATCTGAACAAGACTCAACAAGACATGCCATGGACGCCGGACGCGTTTGGTTTTCGTTCATGCCAACGTCTACTTACATCTTGAAAACAGCCTGTCACAGATAGCCTGTGCAAGATGGCGATGATCAAGCAAAGGCATTTTAACAAGTGTGCGTGAATTTGTATATAGTTTTACAATCCGTTGCACATGGTCAGCGACTGTCAGTGCAAGCCTGCGAATGTTCGCAAACAATTCCGACTCGGTCGGCAGCCTCGCACTCATCGTCTCAGGGTACAGCTTTTCTTTCGCTTTCTCCAGAACGTCTATGCAAGGAGAACGGTCGACGGGGACGGGACCGGGGTGGGACATGGTCATCCATCCGCGACTCCTCAGTTCTGCTTCTGAAGTTTTGGGGTCTCACTCCTGGTGCTGCAATCGAAAAAAGAACAACGAAGCATCAGGAAAGTCCACCGAACTCAACGAAGCATGTGTTCTTTTGACCGTCAATCCCTGCTGCTCCTGTACTCATCACAAAAAGCAGGATGAGGCCTTCAGAAATCACGTGTTCAGTCCACTTCCACCCACCCGACACTTCTCACCTTCACCGTTTCACGATACAAACGGACTGGTTGACGACGTTTGAGACCCGACAGGGCCCGAGAGGGCCACAGAGCCGGACTGGGTCTCCCCGACGGTTTGCGACTCCCTTCGCCCCTTCGCCTCTCCCAGATCCGTGGGCGCGATCTTTGGACGGAGGCCGAGTCGTGGCGTTGGGGTGGGAGCGGGGGGTGTGTGAGCGGGGTTGGGGGTTCTCGGTGGTTTTGGGTTTCAAGCACCAAGTGCGGCTAGCCCCAGAAATTTTCAGGGACAACCGAGGCATTGGCTTTGCAAGCGGTTTTGGTGATTTCATGACAGAGATATAAAACCCCTTGGAGACTTTTATTGAATTTCACTTCATAAGTATTTACGTTCAACAGCGACCAAGTTCTCAGCAACTCCATGTGAATAACAGCGCAAACCGACAATCAATGATTGGTGGGGTGTGGAGAACCCGCATCAAGAACACGAGAGTCACTGAAATTCTCTTTTTGTGACCTATACCTCATGAGCTCTTTGTGACGATCGTATTTCTTGGCCCGAACAGATGGTTCAGATCTGTAGATGCTGTCAAGGTGGTGCCCTCTTCCAAAGGAATGTACGACACATTGGGTCCAGGAGAATCGCTTGCAGGCCATCCCCAGAGTTCACGCTTCCACTCTTCCTCCTCTTCCTCCGCAGTTTGAGGCGGTGGCAGGCACTTGGCCCATCACTGAGTTCGAGAAGATTGGAGAGGCCGCGGCAAGCCACCGCGGATCTGGAACCGACTGGAGCCACGAAACGGATGGAGTGGATCGTCCCAAGCTGCCGAGGGCACTCGGTCCGTGGCCGAGTTTGGTATTTTTTCAACGCCGGCAGGCAGCTCTCTTAGCGAGTTCTGCGAAGCATAGCAGTCGGGCAGCTCAGGACGTCAGAGTCAGGAAAGGGGAGAATGGTTCGTGCGGTTTTTACGAAAGATGACCTTTGGGATGCCACGATGATGAGCGAGTCTAGCCACGTGATGCAAGATTAATGCCGTCGCCAATGTTTGTGGATCGCCATGGTGGATGCTTTTCCACCGTCCTGTTCGCTCCGCGACCTAGTTCGCTCCGTCTGCCAGCCAGCGCTGCCAGGTGAGCACCAAATGGTTGTGGACTATATTTGCAGGCTCGATCTGGGCTTACAGTAGACTTTATAGTCTAGACGTGGCTGGAAAAGGATAGACGGACAGATCTCAGGTTGCAATGACAACTTTAACAACTCAACCCAATCTACTTGACTTGCTTTGCAATCTGGTCACAGACCATGCTACAATTCTTTACAAGGATTGCCTTGACATGGCTTGAAAAAAGAACCCGGCTTGCCACCCTGTCAGGTTTGGAGGTAGAACATTCAAACCCAACAGCTTGCAGAGAATGAGAACATTCAAAGATGGGGACGGCTGGCAGGCTTAAATGCCTGGGACATTGCCCGCAAGTCACAGCCCAACTTGCAGGCTCCTCTATGATATCGCTAGCCATGTGAAGGCGGGTGGTTCCCCGTTGCTTGCGGGACGTGTTTCCTGCTTGGGCAGCTGCAGCCTTTGGGAGCCGACAACACCCCACCCTCGCACCACAGGGCACCCACGAAGCACCGCCGGAACAGTACGGACATCAGGTGTGTGACACGCACATCCTCAAGCTGAAGCACTTGGTTCACATCAAGCAGTCGTGAGCCGTTCGAAGTCGAAACTCGACGTCCAGCGGCTGTGGGCATCTGGGGGGAGGTTCAGCGGAAAATGGGTCTTGCGTCATCGGTGGCATGTAACAAGATTTGAGGTTCAATGAAGGTTATATGGGTGTGCATGGGTGTGTATGGGTGTAGGGAGGTGCAGAAGTGCAGCTAGGGAGGTGTATGAGTGAATGAGGCTCCATAGTTCACTTTTCTTTTTTTTCTAATTCTTCCCACCAAGGCCTTTTGGTTGGCTGGTTTTTACATTTTACATGTTTCACTCGACATAAATCAGTTTATCGCGTTCGATCTTCTCCAGGTACCATGCCATTGCAAAAGAGGCCGAGCTTTCCTTCGTCTCGGTCGCGGAGCGCTAGCGCTGGGATTTTCCGCCCGTTCGACGAGGCGGCCGGATGTTCGTCCCAACAAGCGGAAGTTGCTTCGAAAGCATCTTCCACCGCCACCAGTTGATCCGGCCTTCTGGTACCTGCACCAACTCCTTGTAACTTGACCCCCCATGGTCTCGCCGCCCTTGCCCGACGCCCGGCGACGGCCCGGCGACGTCCGTACGCACCGCGGTGCGCGGTTACACCGGTGCCGACCGGTGCGACGACCGGCTCCCAAGGGCACCGGCGCGGATCCTTGGAACCTGGCGACCTTCTTCTGCGAGCACATGTCGGGCATCCCGGTTTGGCGTGGTTCGACAGCGCGAGGTGGCGTGGTTCGGGTCGACCGGGTCGACACCCGAGAGACGTGGGGTTGGTTGGAGTCTGAGGTGGCAGAGGTGGTTGTGTCGTGGACTGGAGGTGTCGAGTCGTTTTGTGTTGGAGCAAACCATCTCAGCTGAAAGATCTGAAAGGCCTCCGGTTTTCAAGGGACCCAAAGAGATCATCTTAAACAAAGGGCAAACAGCCCATTTCTTTCGGAGGAATGATTACTTTCTCCATCTTTCTCCTCACAGAACACCACTGGCCCTACCGCCCGGAGCCGCGGGCGATTCTCGCCCCTGGTGATGTCCCCCGCGTCCCGCCGCGGACGCCGACGCCAGGTCGCCCACGCCGGCCGTGTGTGGCTTGCCGCCCCACGCCGCGCAGAAGTTCATCGACGCGGCCGACGCTCGGCCGTTGGCGTGACGCCACGGGGCGTTTGGTGCGCGTGGGCGTGCGGAGGAAAGGGGACGGATGATCCTTGTCGGTTCCCCAGCGCCGCACGCGAAGGGGTGTTGCGGTGTTGAGTATTTCAGGAGATCAGACCTGACGGCCTTTACTGCTTTCTGTTGCCGATGCTTGTCTTTTTTTTAATCTTCAGCAAATCATTTCGGGGCTTTCTTCCACAATTCCGGCTCATTACCAAACCTCTGTATATCAGCTTTGGTGCACATTGATTCTCCTCGAATTCCAACATATTTCCAACTGCATTTCAAGTATCTGATAACTTTTGAGAGCTTTGGACTCTTGGCCATTTTCAAGCCTTTGGGCTGCTATTTTTAACATGCAGACTTGTAAAGGCAAACACATACAGGGAGAATCTGAACACCTCTCTCAAACAGCTGGAAGGTTTTGGGTGCTCAGCCAATCCTGGGCAGCTGTATGCTTTTCCTTTCTCTTGAGGACTTTGAAGATCTAAACACACCAAGCTACTTTCTCACTTGGTGTTTGTTTCGATGTTCTTTCCCACATCTCTGAGGAGCCTTGGGACCGCGGCTTCTATGTAGCATGCTCAGTGGCAAAGGAAAGCGAACGTTTCTTTTTGCACGTGAACGCCTCCTAAAGGAAGATAGCTAGAAGCGAAGACGGTAGATGTTTATGGATGTAGGATACCCCCTGGCTAATTGAGGAGGTGTCTTACAACCCGTTTTGGGTCGGGTTCTGCATGATATTTCCAGCAGCTCTGGTTGGGAGTCTACATACTGTACTCAGACCGAAACTGTTTGCTCTTGGGAGAAAAGAACCGGCCCCGCTTCCATGTTTTCAATCCATTTTGCCATGCATGGGTCATGGTTCCAAGCTACAAACACGTGTTCTTCACCGAGCTGTGCCAATTTCTACTGCATTTTTCTCCACATCTCTACAAATTGGGGCATTTTCTCCATAGGAACGGTATTGTTTGCGACCTACCTACTCCCCCCTTGGTAAGCTAACCCGCGGAAAGCTCCGCAGAGCTGCTTCGCTCCGTGCGCTCGAGGCAGCTCCCTGCGGAGTGCTCTCCGCTCAGAGCTGTGAGCTCATCGTGGCGCTCCGCCGGGGGCTCTTGAGGTTGCTTCGAGGTTGCGCTCGCGCGCGGTCGAGGTTGCTTCGAGCCGAAAGCAGAAGAAGACGGGCCAGGATGGTACGGGGGCAAGACGTGCAATAAGGATCAAAAAGGATCATATGCCAGGGGTCACAAAGGGGTGGTGTTTGGTTCCTAAGTGAGTGGATAATGGGCACCCCTAACCTCCAATAGGCACCCCTTTGTGACTCCTGGTGCATGTGTCTTTTTAGAGACACATGTTCAGGTTGGTTCTTTCCTTGGAAGTCTCCACACTGTCCAGATTCCAGATGTGGACGCACTGTTTTTTCGGGGGTGCCTTCTTTTTCCTCGTCATGGTTGTCGCCGGCTGGCCAGCTTAGGGATTTCAATTTAATACAAGCTGCAAGGCAGACCATCAGAAATGGACTTGAGCAGAAACAGTTTTCTTTTTTTTTCATTGACTGCCAGACTCTCTGCTTGTTTTTTTTGGCTTTGTGATTTGATTGACAGCTCCAAAGCAGGTGCAAGAAGTCAATCAACCCAGTCTGAGGCTTCTCAAGAAGCTGAGCGCTACCCCTCTTCCAACATTTTCTTTTTCTTCCTCCTCACTCAAGTGTTTCAGCAAAGAGCTTCAACTCCGGTGATTCAGTGACATTTAGTGCCTCCTGCCTTCCCATGCCAAGTGCATTTGCTCCTCACCGCAGCCAACTGCATCAACCAGTTGAGCCATGTCTTTGTTTCATCCTTCATGCACTCATCCCGCCAAATGCTTTGTTCTTGGCCATAACAATGACGACACACACACACAGAGAACATGAAATACAGAGTTCCCCTAGTACAATGGAAGTACAATGGTAATGGTAGTGCAATGGTATTATGGTAGTATATCAAGTACCTCAGACATCCTCCAATTCTGACATCTTCCGAAGCTACCGATGAAGCGCCCCTCCTTTGGCACTGTGGAATGGTGCCCGGTGACGCCACAGTCCTTCTCGGTGCGCGGATTTGTGCGTGGGGTCGCGGGTCGGTAGTCCCTTTTTGGTTGAAGCGGTATATGTTTGCATGGGCTTTGCATGGGGTTTGCGCATGGGTCAAGGTCCACCTCAGTTTATTAGGCTTTTCTTCAGACCCAAAGATGACATGAATGCGCAACCTCTTGCGAAGGACTGGGTTTTTGAAGTTCCGCATGAATAGGGATTGGTCGAGACTTGTCGGGTTTCCCCAGAAAGAGGGGTTGAATGGATGGATTGGTGGTTGCTTTTGCGAGTGGATTCACCCCAGTCGTCCGGTCTCCCGGCCTCGGCCTCGCGCCTCGCCCGGTTTCAGCACTGCTAGCTATCTCATCCCGGTTTCGCTCTGTTTGGACACGGAACTGATGGAACCCATTCTGATGCATGTATATTGTTGCAACCACCCAAACATGCAAGGATTGCTGGGGGCCTTTCTTCGGCCTTGGCACGGCGGCCGAAAACCGAGCGAAGCGGCACGCGCGGAAGGTCTCGAGTACGATCAACCCACTGGCGCAGACCCAGGCGGCATCTCCGCAGAGCCAGTGGCACAAGTAGCAGAATGTTCAAAAAAGGGGGTATGATGTGAGCATGTGATCATGGCAACAGATACTCTGCACATCCAAGATCTTGTTGCCGAAGAAAAAGAACCCGAACTGCTTGGGCAAGTTGGATGCCGAAAAACCGCCCCGGCCCCGCCATGGCCACCTGTGGCCCTGTCAGATGAAAGGGAGATCCCTTTCCAACCCTCTGACCGTCAGATGAAAGGGAGCGTGTGATAGGCACAGACACCTGGGGGCCGGCTTTTTGGAGGCCTAGGCATCCCAAGGAGCTTTCGATCCTGGGGGCTGTGACTCAAACATTGAGACCTCACGAATGCGCCTCGAACATTGAGACGCCCAAAAGCTGGGGAGGTCTTTTGGCCATTTGGTTGGTTTCCTCCCTACGGGTGCGCATTTGTCCCTCCTCTACCTTTGCAAGGGTTCTTCCGGCTCTTTGTTCCTCCGTGCCAGGCTGCGCCCTTTTTTGAGATCAGCCGTTCCACCCTCTCTTCTCGCAGGGACGCCTGAGGGAAGCCATCGGCCAGTTTGGGCGGTGCACGTTGTTGGGGCTCACAAGATCTACTTGTAAGACCCTAGAAGTCCTTACTTAAAAAATGGTCTTTGGATGACCCCCAAAAGGACCTTCCTTTGCTTGACTCCTTTCGTTTTTTGGAACACCCCGTGTCTACTCCATCCAAGAAAGGCCCACCGGTTGGTTTGTGTAGGTGTGTACCATGCTGTTGGAACGCACCCCACCACTTGGCTGTTCACTTTTCTCAGTACCACGGCATCTTGAAGAGTCTAAAAAAGGTTTCTTGAGGTGGGGGGAACCGACAAGCAAATGGCAAAGCATGGGTCTTCCCAAGCGTACCAAATCCACGTCGGTTCGTTTCTTTGGCCCGGACGTGGCCGGACGCCCGCGACCGTCAGGCGGCGTCACGCCGGACACGACGGCGACGACGAGGTGCTGTCCAATGTGCCAGAAGTCGCTATCCTTGTGTGCCAGATGAGAGTACGTTTCCCACCTTTCTCTTCTTTTTTGCGCAGACTTGCAGATGTCTATCTTGGCTTTCAGACAGTGCGATGACAAGACCTTCATTGAAGTCCAAGGACCCCACTCCAGTACGTTGGAAGAAGCAAAACCCCCGAAACCACGATGCGGCAAGACGGCAACCTGTCTCCGTGTTCAGGGTTTTCAGAGTGCACAACATCTGGTTTTCAGAGTGCACGCCAGGTCCAGCAGTGCCTCACGTCCTTTCTCAGCCACGCAGGACCTGAACTGATCCGACCCAAACGACGAGACGACGAGCCGGACCTGTTTGGCTCGACCGAGGGCATCCGGACGAGCACAGAAGCGGAAGCGTCGGCCATTCCGTTAGTGACCCAAGGAATTCCCAGTGATATGAGCACACCAGTGGTGTATAACGGGGTGCTGTTGAGTCCCAGTGTAGGTAGTCCCCCAACCTCCACTCTCTTCAGCTCTTTGGAACTGGCGACTCGGCGACGTTTGACCTGGCGCGACTCGAGGAGTCGAAGATTTCTGCGAGGAAGAGCCCCAGGTTTTCAAGGACGAAAGCTGGGTCCAAAACGGCGGAGAAGGCGGTGTCTGGAGCTCCAGGCCAGGCAAGGCCAGGCTGCGGCCTTGGGAGACCCCACTTCAGATTTCTGGCTCAAGAAAGGACTTGGCATCTTCCAATCTGGTCAGATACGGCACCGGGATACGCATGGGGATGCGAAGCGATGCCGTGCGATGCCGTGGCGATGCCCTGCTCGGACCTCGCAGGACTCTGGCGATCCCAGGCTACACCGGGCACATCCCCAACAAAGATCTTGAGGCGAAAGTGCCTCCAGGGCCGGGGAGTTTGTGTTGTTTCTTCATGGCCATGCGCAACACACCGTCGAAACGAGACCGTGGGGACTGGGAGAGGATGCGAAAAAAGGGTGACACACACACACAGCGCTGATCTTTGGCGGAGAGTGGATGGTGTTCTTCCATCACCCAAGCTGTGCATGGGAATGGAAGCACCTGGTTCAAGTTGCGGTCCCCTAAGAGGTGGATTCGAAAGGTCCAACTTTGAAAGGACAAAAAACACTCACGATCATCACATCTCAGCTGTTGGAGTAGTGAGGTGATGGTGATGATGGTGATGATGGTGATAGTCGAGTGCAGCCCACTGCCTTGAGGTGTGCGGTGGAACCTTCACTGTCGCGTCCATCGCTGCAGCAGCCATCGGCAGTAGGCGATGTGCTGGGAATGCTTCAAGTGGCTCTAGGGCAACGAAGACACAACAACATCAACAACCCACAGGTTGGGTCATTTTCACATATGTTCGTCCATCTTTGGACCATTGATGCTGCCAGTGGATTTGCCGCAAATACTTCGAGTGGATCTTTGATTTTTTCGTCCTCACCAGCGGCCGTTCAATGCGTCCCACATTCAACTTCACTGGTCCACCCAGCCCAGGCGCCAATATGACGACACAAAGCTGATGGATGGCCCGGCGTCACATGGGCGCCGTATGCGCGGGAGTTCGACCGGGGCAAACGGGCAAAAGCAGCTATTGCCCGGTGGGCAACGTTGGTCGGTTTTGAGCGACGTTGAAATGGTTGTTGTTGGCCATTGATTTTCCTACCCCTGGCTAAGAACCATCCCATGACTCAAGTGACTCATTTGGCTAAGAAGCGTGAGATCATACCATCCCATGACGACCCATTGAGGTTCCTCTCAGTCAGGGCGTGTGTGAACAGCAGCGCTTGACTCGCTGTGCCGGGATTCGCCGCCCGCGGCGGGTTTCAGGCGTCTTCTTCCGACGAAGTGTGTTCGCGCAGCGAAGGCGAAGTTCGTTTGATTTGATCGAGCTGCCACCAATTGAAGGAGTCAACAATCCAGAGGATGTGTTGGCGGTCATGTTCTCTTCACCCAGTTGAGTCAGAAGTCCTTCACATGAAACATGGCGGGGGAAAACCATGGGTTCTTCATGGTTCTTCGATGTTCTTCGTCATTTTTTCCTCTTCCAGGGTGGTGAGGCTGTGGGATCACCCTATTTCAACACACCCAAATGGAGCTTCACCGAGGCCGAACTCACTCCCCGCGCTTTGCGGATCAGTTGGGATCGCATGGGCGACATCTCAGGAGCCGTGGATGAGTGTCTTCATACGTACGGAACCGCGTGTCTTCATCGAAAGAGAGGAGATCTCCTCATGGACGCGGTGTTTTCCTTTGGATTGGCGGCATACAAGCGTTCCCCCAAAAGAAGACATCCTTCTTCAAATCATCTGGTGGATGTTTCGCCTGATCTCCATCCACCGCATCTTCTCCATCCTCGACCGACCCGCGATCCCCCCGACGCCGGGAACCAGTGGCTCCGTGAAGCTACCGAGGAGCTACCGACCCTGGGTGCGGCAGGCGGCTGGCGTCTCTCACAGCTTTGAGCGTCGCTTGAAACTCGAGAGCGCCCGGTGGATCTGAAGTGGTTGGGCTGGGAGGATCTGTTGGGCTGGATGCTTTTGAGCGGCTTGTGTTTCAAGCTGGTGGAGTGCGTGTGCTATGCTGTTGGTGGATCCGTTCGGAGCTTCTTCTTCATGTGCCGACATGTACGGTGAGTGAAAGCCACGGATACAACATGATACAACAGCTTTCAACGGTCACCGGACCCCTTCTGCTTCGCTGGGCAAGCCGTCGCAGCGACGGCTTTTAGGGGGCAACACCAAAAAGCCAAAAGCAAAGACATGGTCACCAATTACTCTGCCAGAGGCGAAGAGGAACACTTCAATTCACCCAAAATACTCACAATGCCAGAAAGCCGGCAGCCAGCTGGCAGTGTGACTTCGTTTCCCAGACCTTTTCTTGCATCGTCTCCCACCGTGCTAAGGATACAGCCGAGCGGCGGGTCGACCCGCCTGCTTCGCACGGTGAGGCCTCTGCCCTAAAACCCAAAGGTTCCAGTTCTTTGCAGATTATTGGCTCCGTTAGTAGCGTCCTTGTTCGTAGTAGTAAGGCCAGGAGCCCCGAACGTACCGTTCTTGCTCCTAGTAGCGATGCCAGGAGCGCCTAGTAGCTTCTTGTTGGCACGAAGTGTTCAAGTAGCATCATGTTTTGGGCCCGGCTCAAGCTGTTCATGCGCCGATTTCGGAGAACACCCAGGCGATGCTGAAGCTATTCATGTCAGCTGCCTGAGTGACGACGTCAGAAGCCGTTTCTTTTTTTGAAAGAGGCAGGCCTCGGACACACGGCAGGAATTTTAGGCTTTTTTCAGGCAGGCATGTTGGGTTTCGCGGCATGTTGGGGTATTTCCAAGCGCTCTTTTCGTGATTCCTGGTGGTCAGGTGGCCTCTTTTTTGGTCAAAAGGCAATTTCTTTACCTGAAAACCGATTCGACTTTCTTTCAAGGAGAGGGTGATAGACTAAACTTACATGGGTTACATGGGTCTGATTGTAATTTTTCTGTCATTTAAAGATAGGGATGTTTGACTTAAGTGAAGCATACCAGCATACCCTCAGCCCGGGTCCGACAGATTGGCAGAAAACCGATTCTCAGCAGTTGCGAGTCATGGAGTCCGCAAGTCACGCACTTCTGCTGCTCATGCTGTGAGTCCGCGAGTCTGGACGTGTTTTTTTTCGCGCGTTCACCCGCAACCGGGCGTTTCCCGGCGTTCACGGCCCTGTTCAGACCGGGCGGAGATCGTCGTTTCGTCCACCCGGGAAAAGAGAACCACACGGAACCCGGGCGAGCGGCATGGACCAGACTGGAAGACGTTCAGACTGACCCAGTGGTTGTGAGGTTCCATGTGGGTCCCTGACCCTGGGTGCAGCGGCGTTTGCAGCGGCGTTTGCTCGTCTGCCCCCAGGGTCAGACTTCCATGTAGGATGGACCTGTTGAGCTGCCGCTGCCGTGTTCAAGAGAATGTGACCCCACAAATCTCGTCTCTTTCGGCGCTTTTGTTTGGTGCACCATTGCAATTCCTTGAACTGCATGAATGCATGAATGCCCAGTACTGCGCAGAATGACTCCCACAAGCAGATCTCACAGAAATGATTCGCATGGCTGTTGCTCTTGGCAAAGATTGCCAAGTTGCGCTGTCGTCCCCCAAGCACCTGGAAGATTCATAGACTGCTTGGCCGAGTTGGTCAGATTTCAAAGCGGTCTTTGCAGAGATGTCAGATTTCGTGGGCGGAGAGTGACCTTTTTTTTGGGCCATGCATGAAGAGATGCGTGAAGACCAAAAGGCGCATTTTACGGCGATGTGGCGGCCTTGATACACCTGACCACATGTGACCACATGGGATGCTTTAAAACAACAAGACATGTGTTGAACATGTGACCACATCGTCTCCCACATGTGCTGGACAGCTTCGACCACCCGCTTTGGATCGGACCTCCAGTCCCTGCATCGGTTGGAGAGAGCTGAGGCTCGGCTCTGCTGACAGAGGGGCGAAGACTACATGCCAGGGACCCAGAGGTGGTTGCATGTGGTTGAACGAGGAAAGGTCGACCAATTTACTTTATTTATTTTTCTTATAATATGATATGATGTTGTTCCCCAATAGCCATGCTATGGGGTGCTGCAAAACTAATAGGCGGACGGGCGCCGTCGGGTCACCGTCAGAGCTGGTGGGCGGATGGTGTCCCGGTCATGTTTTGATGGCGTCCGGGTCATGTGATGCTGGTGTCCCGGTGTCCCGATCATGTTTTGATTGTGACCCAATCATGTTGTGATGGTGTCCCGGTCCTGTTTTGATGGTGTCCCGGTCATGTTTTGATGGTGTCCCGGTCATGT